CGCCCTAAGTGGAGCTGTGGCTCAAGTGGTAGAGTTTAGCCTTGAGCTGAAGAGTGAGGAATAGCACCCAGGTCCAGCGTTCTGGCCCCACAACTGTCAAAAAAGAACACCTTTGCTGTCACAGAAACTTTGAACTTAAGACTTTTTGTTGTTGTTGTTTCAGACCTAATTGCACAATAGGAGAAGTAGAACGATCTCTCTTCGCAAAGCAGAATCCTGCTAGGTGCTCAGCTTACTTGTGCAACTTCATGTCCCTACCATCGCTGATGACTGTTCTTCGATGTTCACTACCTCCATTTTTTTTTTTTAGCTCTTACAGTGTCTTTCATGGACACCCATCTGTGAATAATGCAAGAGACATTTCAGTGTTGAATAGAAATAGATAAATGTGCTTCATTGTTGAGATTTTTGAGAAGAGAGTTCAATAAATAACCAGGCACCATTGGCTTGTGCCTGTAATCCTAGCTACTAAGGAGGCTGAGATCTGAGGATCCTAGTTCAAAGTCAGTCTGGGCAGAAAAGTCTGTAAGACTCTAATCTCTGGTTAAGTACCAAAAAAAGAAAGAGAGTTTTTTCTTTTCTTTCTTTCCTTTTTTGGAAAGAAAGAAGAAAGAGAGAAAGAGAAAAAGGAAGGAAGGAAGGAAGGAAGGAAAGGAAGGAAGAAAGAAAGAAAGGAAGAAAGAAAGAAAGAAAGGAAGAAAGAAAGAAAGAAAGAAAGGAAGAAAGAAAGAAAGAAAGAAAGAAAGAAAGAAAAGGAAAGGAAAGGAAATGAAAGAAAGAGCCAGAAGTGAAGTTGTGGCTCAGGTGGTGTAGAGCACTAGCCTTGAGTAAAAAAGCCTAGGGCAGCACCCAGGCCATGAGTTCAAGCCCCAGAAAAACTCCCCCCCCCTCAAGAAAGCATCAGTATTTTGTTACTGAAACAAGGATACAGGTTGACCCTTTGTAATAATGAGACATAAAAGACACTGTGTTGAAAATGAACTTTACAACTTGGGGGAGGGAAGGGTGGAGGAGTTGGGGAGGTGGGGAGGGAGGGGATAGAAGGGGAAAAACAAAGGCTGGGGTAACAATGCTCGATAGGAAATGTACTCATTACCTGACTCATGTAACTGTAACCCCTCTGTACAGTATCTTCACAATAGAAAAGCATGTCACTCAGTGTGATATAGCTGTGAGTTTCTCCAGAAGTCTTTCTCAGTCAAATCTTAGTTTGCTGAGAGTGCTTATCATTCTATATTGAACTTTGTCAAATGCATCGTCTGTGCCCACAGAGATGACCATACTGTTGTATGTTTTATTCTTCCCCATAGAGAATTTGCTTTGATGACAGTGCTGAGTTGGCCTTTCCAACCTCCCCACGTTTATCACGTCTGCTCATCGCTCATTCCGGTGGAGTAGAACTCTACCTGCATCCCCGTCCATCAGCCTAGCATTCTTCCCTTGACATTTCTTTAACTGCCCTTCATAATGGGCAGTTATTATTTTGCTTTTGTTTATCTGAAAATTTCTCTATATTAAGTGATTTGGGGTCTGATATAAATCCCTGCGTTGACACATGTCATTTCACTGTCTCGTGCCTCCGTTGAAAATGGGGCATAGCAGTCAACTATCAGTTTCACTCTGTGTAATTGCTGCCTTTCCCTGGTTGCTCTCAGGATTCCTTTCTGTCTTTCATTCACTGTGATTTGCATTGTTTTCATTTTTCTTTAAACTTACTATGGTGGGTTTTACCATTCTTGCTAAGTTTGTAAGTTAGAGACTTGGGGAGAATGAAAGATTTTTTTTCAATATTATTACTTGTGTTTGATTAGTTTGACTTCCTCTCCCCTTCCTCCCTCCCTTCCTCACCTCTCCTCTTCTCTCCCCTCCCCTCCCCTCCTCTCCTCTGTGTTGATGTTATCTCAAGTGCCTGCAGCTCTCTTCAGTATTTAAACCACTTACTGTTCTTTAGAGTTCTAGCTTCTGTGAGTCTGCTTCCATTCTTACTCACCCACTTTCCCACTAATCTGCTGTTACGTCCATTCTCATTTTCAAACTTTTAAAAATTCTGACACTTAGCTTTCCAGTTCTAGAATTTACACTTGTCTCTTTTATAAAAAGTTTCTATTTCCTTCCTGAGACTCTCTATTCATTCATGAAGGTGTTTTTTTTTCTTTAACTTCTTGAATGTAGCTCTTTCTTGGCCTACAGCATGTAGGTCATCTCAGGGACTGTTTCTTTTGGCTGCTTCTTTAAAAGTTGATTATCTCTCATTCATGTGGTTCTTACTTTGTCTAATAACTTCATTGTATATTACCCATTATGGATGGCATGGTGTGTAGTGTTAATATTATTATTCTCTCCCCCCCCTCCGCCCCACTCTACTGAGAGTTTGAACTCAGGGCCTTGTGCTTGCTAGGGAGACAGTCATACCCTCAGTTCTTTTCATTTCAGTCACTTTTCAAATAGGGTCTCATAATTTTGCCTGGGTAAGTCTAGTCCGAGGTCTTCCTGTTTAAGCTTCCTGCATGGCTGGGATGAAAGTTGTACGTATCACCTTCAGCTTTGTGTTGATTGAACCTTTTTGTTAGGCTTTCCTTGAACCACAATCTTCCCTCTCTGTACCTTAAGTTACTAGACAAACAAGCATGAGCCACTACCATACCTGATGTAATATTTATCTTTTCAGAAGGATACTGGTGGGTCTTGTTGGACAGTTAATTACCGGTGATTCTTCTTAATCTGAGTCTTTTTAAGGCTCATCCAGTGTAACTCTTATACACATGGTTATTTCCTCAAATGGTAGACTTTTGGGTGCTTCATTGATTCTCTGCAAGTATAATTGAAATCTCTACTTTGGTCTCTGCTCTCTCAGAAATATGTAACCCCACTAATTTTTGTTTTAGCTACTCTGCTTATCTTCATGAAATCTCATCTTGTATGAGTGCAGTCTAGCTCTTGACCTAGGTCTATGTGAATAAACCATCTTCCCCCTCCCCAATTTTGTGGTCATCTCCTGTAGCTCCTCCTTTTCTAACACTCTGCCATTCACTTTCCCACGGCCTTACCAGCTCTCCAGTCTGTGTGTCCTCTGCCACAACATGACAGCTACTGCTGAGACCATATTTCTCCATTCTGTGCCATAGTTAGGGCTGATGGTCATGTTCAGCCTGGGTATTTTCCTTTACTTAATGACCAGGTTTCTGTCCAAAATCTAAATCAGTCATTGCATATATTTTGTGCTATGAAATGATCTTCTGCATGCCCAGAAGCCAACGTCTGGGAGAAATACATTGTGGGAATTCTTGAGATCACTGGTCCACAGATGATGGAATCTGGAGTACTTATCCTGCCCTGCTGGAGTTGGAATGGGCCTGGGGATTTCTCCCTGCCTCATGTCCAGGGTGCTGATGTTGCTGGTGTGGAAACCATGCTTTGGAGATCACTAGAAGAAGGTTGCCTTAGAAAAAGATACTAGCACTCAGGAAATATAATTTTTGCTTCTTTTCTTTATGTCCCAAATTTTAGACGTCTATTTCCAATCATTTCCTATTGTGGTAGACACCTTATTCTATTTATTCAAAGTATTTTTCAAAAAAACTATTGAGTATCTAGTATATGTATGAGTCAAGCGGAAAAGGTCAGATAATGTGATGTCAGGAAAATGAACCCTTAGATATGTATTTTAATGTTTTTTCTTTATGCATGTGTTTCTAACGCATTTATAAGATTATCTCTTTGTTGCTTTGTATGTCCCTCCCCCACAGTATAACCCCTGCTTTCACTATATTTGATGTCAGTATAACTTGTGGAGGATATGGGGAAAAACCAGTTGTTTAAGGATACAGGTGGATCTGATGCGACAATAAGTATAAGTTGTCATGTCCAAAACGAGCTTTACAACATTGGTGCGGGGGGGGGGAGGAAAGGGGGCGGGGGGGGGGGGGAAGGAGAAGGATTGGGATGGGGGGGAGGAGGGAGGCTGGGAAGGGATGGGAAGGTTAACAAAGGAGGAGGCTGCAGTGCTTGGTAAGAAATGTACGCATTATCCTGCCCATGCAATTGTAACCCCTCTGTACAGTATGTTCACAAATAAAATAAAATAAAATTTTAAAAAAAACTATTGAGGATTCTTTTTGCATTACCAAAGATATAGTCTCCATTTAACTTTAGTAAACAAATCCAGCAAATACATCAGAGAATAAATGAGCTACATAATATCCTCTTTTCATGCCTGTTTCCTTGCACACACATCTTCATTCAAAAATGAAACTTTTGTTAGTTGAGAAGTAAGAATTTGCTTTTTATTTTATCATTTAGGCCTGCGCATATGTGTGCAGCATTGTGTATGTTTACTAGATAGAATCCAAAGTGGTGATAAACCTCTACCAAGTGGACGGCTCCCTGTTGACATTTTGTCCTTTCACAGTTATCAAGATTGTTATAGCAATCCCATTACCCTAGTGACATACTTTGTCTTCTGTCTTTGTATCCATTGTTCCTGCTCTACCTTTCCTCATTTGTGAGGATTTGGGAGTTTCTTGCTTCTGTGCATTCTAGACTCTGGCTTCATCAGTACCAGGCTTGCACTTGTGGCTATTCTTGTTATGATGCTGACACAGTACCAGCCATGTGGTTATTCTTTTTATGATGCTGACATGGTACCAGCCATGGCTACCAGGAGACTCCCTCAGGACAGGAAATGTCTTCTCAACAACATCATGGGATTTGTCTTAAGGGAGAAAATGGATTGGCCTTAAGCCTCCAAAGTCTGAATCAATCTCTGAAGGTATTTTCATTTCCCAACCTTTTAGATTTCTTTGAAAAAATTGATACAAGAACCTTTCTTGGCTAGATTAGAGGGACTATAAGATGGCAGGTTTCAAATATTGTTTCCTCTGCAAGATGTGATTCATACAATTTCAATCTCAGCTTCAGAGATCTGTTTTCAAATATTTTGACAAAAGAATAAGTGATATATTAATTGAAAAACAGTAATTATTCAAAATTCCTTTTAACAGGTTCATTTTGATGGTTGGGACCATAAGTATGACTATTGGATGGGTGTAGACAGCCCTGACCTTCACCCCATTGGATGGTGTGATGTAACAGGACATCCACTGGAAGTACCACTTTGTAAGTACTCTGTTCACAGTTGCTTTGAAGTACTTGAACCCAAACTCCAGGTGTGGCATTGCTTACTCCTGTCACTATAGATATTTAAGAACAAAATAAGGGATAGGTGAATTAATCAATCATTAGTACATCTATACTGAAAGCCAGTTGTTCATAAATGAGTCTCAAAGGGAATTTTTATATACATAAAAGGTAATAATCACTAAGAAAATTGTACCCATGATATTTTTCAAGGAAATCTTTATTTTCTGTTTTAGTTCGCAAAACAAGACCAGTATCACTAAATCCATGTAATGTTGATGATTGATTTTATCTGAAGTCAGAGTTATGTTTTTTTAAAAAAATCCCAACTGCAATAAAAGAGATGAGACCAGGAAAAAAAATCCCAACTGAATTTAATTTTATAAACTTAATTTAATTTTAGAGATCACAAAATGTTTTAGAAAAATATTTAAAATTTTAGAAATCTTAAATCTTTTAAATACTAAAAATGTTTAAAGCCTTCTATTTTATTGCTGTCTTCATTATTTCTGCCTTGGTAGGCACTTAAAGTTAAGGAGGAAATTAAGCATTCTAAATTCTAATGAGCATCCAACCAAAATACCTCATTCTTTTGTCTGAAGGAATCCTCTGATCTGATTAGGCTGACATGAGTAATAACTAGTTCTAGACATCAGTGCAAATGTTCTCCATTCTGTGTTGGTTTCATTTCCTCCCTGCTTCTGTTCCTAACCTCCCATCAGCTTCTTTGGGTAAAGATAAAATGTTATTCTCCTAATGGAAGTGTCCATGTTGAACCTACCCAATGATGCTTGAACCTGAGACCTAAAAGGATGTGTGGCATCCAGGATGGCTTCCCTTCCCTTCTTGTCAAAGTGAGAAGAATCCTTAACAAAATAATCGGATGGACAGTTTTACATTGGTCAAGCGTCCTCAAACACTGCAGAGTCACTGAGATGCCAGCTGCACAGTCACAGTGTCTTGACAATCACAAGCTTTACACACAAAAGGATAGAAATCTGGGATGAACATGCTTAGCACTCTATGGGGATTCCAGGTTGGGAAATTAGACCACTATTTGTGCTTGGTGGATTTCTTTGATCCCACCTTTTATTTTCCCTGAATTTATACCCCCGCATGCTGGGGAGATGGTTTTAATTTTGTGTTAAACTCTCACATCTGCATTCATTCAGCACACAATAATTTTCTCAATTAGGATTGATTTCAGAGTGGGGAAGAGATGTTTCAGCATTGCAGGGAAAAGGACAGCTCTCTTCCTTCCACCTGACCCATTGCCTGTTCTTTTGTTCAGCTGCTCACCTGGCTTGTAAACTTAGATGTCTTCTAGAAGCCTGAAGTCTATGCATCAACTTCATCCTAAGCCTATATTTTGCTGTTTCAACTGTAGAAACTTCCCGAGCTCCCCCTCCTTACTTCAGCTATTCAAGACATGACATTTTCCTTGTTTCTCATTCAATGCACTCATACTGCCAGTCTTCAAGTTCTGCTGATTCTCCCACATCATTTCTTCAGAAGCCATCTCTGTTTCCACTCTCCTTTTCAATGCCATGTATCATTTACATAGTTAAAATTATTTTTTTCAGAATATGATCCTCTTGAGGCTGGAATGCATCTGAAAATGCAAATTCTAAAGGAAAGGTAGTTTAGTTTTAATCTGGAAAAACTAGTCAGAATGCTTGAATGTGAATCTCAGCTTTACTACTTTTATAGTTTTTTTCCCTTTTGCTGTGCTTCAGTTTCCTTATCTATAAAATAGAGAGCCTATTGTCTGTCTCATAAACTTATAACAGTGAAATCAGATAAATGTATACTTAGCACTTCAAAAACTGCCTGGCTCATAGCATGTGCTCAGTTAGTTTCAACTGCCATGAACAAATATAGCATCCAATAGATTTTTATTTGCATATAAAAGTAAGTCTATTATAAATGGTTACAGTTTTGAAACTGAACTAATAATAACAAAACTGATATTTTCCAATATTTTAGGTACATTTCTTTCTTAGGAAATTGACTTCTGAGTGTTGTTGGCAGTATTATAGAGATTCCTGTGTCCTGTATTTAGTCAGCCTTTTATTGTGATTACAAAATGCTGGATGAAAACAATTGAAGAATGCTTTCTTTTGGCTCTTGCCCAAAGATTTCAGTCAATGTTCAGCTGATTTGGTTGCTTCTAGGTCTTTGGTTGCTTCTGGCAGTTGTCAGGTAATGTGGGGAGAAACCAGCAGCTGTTCAGTCAGCATTCTGTCTCTGGTTTTATGGATGACTGGATGGACAGAAGGATGGCCATCTTGTATTTCTGAATGCTATTGTCACTCAGAGTTGATTTTATTCATAGAATTAAGCTTTTCTCACCTCACCTTCCAGTATCCTTGATAATTGCAGCAAAACCCACTGCATTTTATAATCAATCTAGAAAGCCACACCATGCTTTTAAAAAAATCATATATGAGGGGCTGGGAAGGTGGCTCAGTGGTAGAGCGCTTGCCTTGCATGCATGAGGCCCTGGGTTCGATTCCTCAGCACCACATAAGCAAAAAGAAAAAAGCCGGAAGTGGCGCTGTGGCTCAAGTGGTACAGTGCTAGCCTTGAACTGAAGAGCTGAGGGACAGCGCCCAGGCCCAGAGTTCAGGCCCAATGACCGGACCCCCCAAAAAAATCATATATGAACAAAAAGTCATCATTCATATTGTAAAGATACTTCAAAATATTTTAACTTTTAGATACCTTTTGCATTCTATATTTTGGTTTATATTTCTCAACAATTGGCTTTATTATATTACATATAATAATATGTAAAATTTATTACTTTATTGATAAGACATTGTAAACCTTATTAAAAGTGCAAGGCATAGAGAAAAATCTTAGATATCATCTAACCTATCCTACTCTTTTATACAGTTGAAGATTGGCTTGAGTTTTACTTACTGTATCGACTTAATTTAGCAAAATTTTTGCAAATGAAATCACAGCAGGATTTGAGTCAGTTATCTTGTGTGAAAGTATACTGATTAAAAGGAAGCATGATGTAGAGTTGTTTTAATCTATCATTCTTACCTCTTTCTCTTTATGAATGTCTCCCCTTCTGAAAATAAGTACAATGAGGGTTGTAATAATTAATTTAGAATCAAAAGGAGAAAAAATATATATGATAAAACCCATTTTATATGGATTGCATTCTCTCTATTTGTGTGTATGTTTTGTTTCGTCTTGAGATTCCAATTAAATCTGAAAAGGCTCCAGTTTACAAACGTATGAAAATAGAATTAAAAATCACACAGCTGCTTGTTAAAATGAGTGAGAGCTAAATTAAATCTCCATTGCTGATTTACTGTTAAAAAGGTTGTTGAAGACCATTGAGTTATCCCAGGTGGGCCTCAAGAAGCAGGACTGAACTGAGTTCAAAAGTACGCACAGGTCCTGAGCTAGGAATGCTCTTTCTAGAGAAGGAAGTTGCCCGTGGATAAGCTAATTGGAACTCCTTGGTTCTCATACAAATTTCAGTGGACTTTATTAAAATTTCAGATCTTTCTGAATAAATGATAGTCCCTTTTGTTTCCATTTGGCTAGTACCATTTATCTCATTGCCAAAGTGAGTCAAGATTTGTACATGTGTGCTGCAGCTCGCAGCTTCTGCACAGGTATGTGTGCAATTAAGTTTTGGCCAAGACCATAGCAGAATATTTGGGTTTTGTACTGGTACTGACTTGAACTCAGAGTCCTCAGAGCTCTTAATTTGATTTTTTTCTCAACAACAGCACTCTGCCACTGGAGTCACAGCTCCACGCCTGGCTTTTTTTTGCTGGTTAACTGGAAATAAGAGTGACACAGACTTCTCTGTGGGAGCTGGCTTTGAATGATGATCCTCAAAGCTCAGCCTCCTGAGTAGCTAGGATTACAAGCTTGAACCATGAGAACTCAGCTTGAATATAAATTCTTGAAACAGTGTTTAGGAATAGCCTATGGGGAGCAGGAACTTGGTTGTTGTTCTTTTATAAATAAGATTTTTGTATTGTGAAACTACTGTACAGAAGGGTTACAGTTACATGAGCAAGGTAATGAATGCATTTGTTCTTAAGCATTGTTGCCTCCTCTTTTGTTTTTCCCCTACCATCCATCCCTTCCCTCCCATCTCCACAACTACACTCCTGCCCCCCCCCCACCTAAATTGTAAAGTTTGTTTTTCAACATACTCTCTTGAACATCTCATTGTTACAGTGGGTCAACCAGTATCCCTATTTAAACATTTTGTTTTTACCCTTCCCCTCCCCAAATTATACCAACATCAAATACACTGAAAACAGGGGTTATACCGTGGGGAAAAGGAACATACAAAGCAACAAAGAAATATGTTAGAAACAATAGCAAGAAAGAAAAAAAAACACTTGTGTCCCTATCTTGGGGTTCATTTCACTTAATATCATCTTATATAGACATTTGTACATAGCTTTTGACCTTCTCTACTTGTCCCAGACATATACTAGCTATTGGAAGTAAGAGAAGCCATGGGACCTATGTTACTTTAGACCTTTAGCCAGAAGGAAATCCGATGTGGCTGACCGAGTGATCCCGGCTCCTCTTGCTTCGCTTCCTATTTATTATTCGATTGTCTCTTCTTCATTTTGGAAGGACTCTATAATTATCTCTTTCGTCTAATGTATAGCCCTTCCTGATGGTGCTTTGCTAGCCTTTGGATTGGAAGTACCTAAGCCTTAGGTACTGTTGAGCTGAAGATCTTTCTGTCATGCTTTGGGGTTTTTGACTATCCTTAGAAGGACATTAAATGTCTCAAGTACACAGCCGTCTTGGCAGATTGCTCCTTGGGACTCTTTACAGTCACATTATTTAGAAGCCACAACCTATGTCATATCTGATATGAATGTTCTGTACATGTAGCTCACTGCTTTTCCTACATGATTCAGTATTTACCTGAAGGCAATGCATTCCGTTGCACAATGCAGTGTTGGGCAATTCTTGCTTTA